CTGACTTAAGGAGACATTAGCACTGTTTGTCTTCTTCTCCAAACAGTTCCCCAGAGTTATTGGAGTCTAGAGCTCCTTTACAGCGAGCAGCTGTGAATGGAAAAAATTCTTGTTAGCTGGCACTGGCCCTTTTCAAAGGTGTTGGACACATTGGCTGGCAGAGAGGATCCAGCTCCCATATCTTGGAGTGTCAGCCAGGAAATGTACTATCTGGGTGAAGAAAGGTAGATGGTATGGGACACCCATTTCCTTCATTGCCCAAGAATTATTTAACTATTCCTTGTTCTTCCAGTAGAGATCTAGTAGATTTGAAAAATTCTGTTTAACAACAAAAAAAAAATGTGCATCACAGTTTCAGGCCAGCTCCCCTATCATGTGGCAATATAAGCTTACAGAATAATGACTTCCAGAGGATATTCATATTTCTTTATAATTTATTACAATAATTTCTCACTTCCAAACATGTTCTTGTTGAATGACAGGCCACAAAACAAATGGAAAACTGGTTGGCTATGACCATCCGGTTCTTTCTTATTCTTTTCGGCTGCTTGCAGTATTAAAAAAAACCCTGTGTTTTACCAGAAGAGGCAGTGCATTACTTTGAATTGACTCCGCAGCATCTGTATAAACTGGGTTCTTCAACAGGGCTTTTTTGTGCTTTTACCTAAAGCTGATTCAATCAGCTATTAGATAGAAACACCAGAACAGCTCCACTGAAGCGCCCAATCTATGCAGTTTTGGGGCAAGTCGGGTCCAACTAATGTGCTGCCTTTTCTGGGCACGTGCTGGGCTTGGTGTGAGAGTGCATCGAGTTTAAAGTAAAACACCACTTTTTTAGTGCCTGCAAGCAGCCTTCAGGAGCTCCAGTTAATGTCATAATTTTTCATGATGTTCTTCTGAAGGAAGAACAAATTTAATACAAAATGGAACTTTGAGTATAAGCAGCTGTTTAGTTCCCTTCCTTCTTCCTATAGTCTTAATTCTGTTGAGTGTGTGGTGGAGCCTGCTTACTCTGATTTGGTGTTAAAGAACCAGATCTTCAAAAGCAGTTAGTAGAGCTTAGTGCATTAGGTTTCTGGGTACTCCACTTGAACATCTTTTCATTGTCCCACTTTGCAGACCATCCAGTCTTTGCAGAAGTTAAGTACTGAAATTTTCAATTTTTTTTTAAAGATATCTGTTTGCAGATCCAGAAATGGAGATGCCTGATATCTTACAATATGAGACTCATTTATAATTCACTTGAAATTTGCCTCTAACAATAGGGTTGAGGTGGGTAAACCATTCAAAAGCAGTGCTTATTGAAAGATGAAACCATGATTGAATTACTGTCTATCGGGCCTGTATTTTAGCTCAAATTTGTACTTTATTTTTCCAATGACTGTGTCTGGTGAACTTTAAAGAACTGGAGTATGTTACTTTCCCTTGCAAACCAGAGCATTTGCTTTCATGAATAAAGCTTTTAATCCTTTTGGAATTCAGGAAGCAGCATTTATTTGTGTTTGGCAAATCCCTAAAGAATGACAGAAGGGTTGGCCTGCTACTTCCTTTCTCTCTGGTTCTCACTATTGTTTTCATTTCCGATAAAAGGTGAAACTTAGTCACATGCTTCACTTGGACAATGGTTCAGTTGCAAAGTACATATAACAAGGAATATCAGCAGCAGAAACATGGATCGTAAAAAGAAACTGACTCAAGGGATTTACTTCTTGAAAATGCGCAGTTGCTAGGCATTGCATGTTAATGGAAGGTACCGTTTGTGTTTATCCTAATCATAAAGGAAATTATGTCAATGGATCAAATCAAATGTTTCATGTAGTAAAGGGTATATTAACATTTAAAATGTTGCCCACCTGGACTACTTCTAATTATCTGTACAGGCAGTCCTCGGACTTACAACACATTTGGTTCCTGAAAACCACATCTTAAGTCAAAACATAAGTTGGAACTGATTTTCCCACAGGAAACTATGTTATAAATAGGGGATTGGGTCCAAGGAAGTTTGGACAGATGTTCTCCAGGGAGATGGGTGACGCAGTGAACTTGTTCGCTGGCATGGCATTGGATCGTGTTGTAAAGTCAAAACTGACATCAGAAAGTTAAAAAGGTGTCAGTTTATAAATGTAAGTGTGAACCGTTGTAACTCAAAACGTTGTAAATCAGGGACTGCCTGTAGTACTGTTTTTACTAGAGGATAAGTCTCTGTCCTAACATACCTTTGAAATTATATAGAACATTGAAGTTTGAGCATAACATAGGAGATTTGAGGATTTAGTTACATAACAATTTGACAGTAGAGCTTTAATTCAATTTAACTCTGGATTATTTGGTATATGCAGACTTATTTTTAACATAGCACCAGTTGTTATGTTTTCCCTATCCCAAGAATTTAAATGTTTTTATAAAGTTCTGCTTTGTTCTGGGAGAGACATTTCAGTTATAAAGAAATTAAAGTTTATTTCTAAAACCAAGGTGCCTTGAGAAGGATTTTAGGATGAATTAATTCAATTCCAAGTTAGCATGATACCCTTAGAAATGAATCCTACCTCACCTTTGTCAAAGCTGCAGTTTGGACAACCTTATAGAATAGTCTCTTCATATAAAGAACTGTATCTTGAATTATTGTTTAGTCCTAAATTGCGTGGATCCTAGACAGATGACATCTCCTGTCTTTTTCTATGCCAAGGGAACACTCATAGAGGGCATGGAAGGTGCAGTTCCATCCCCCTTAAGCTGTGATGCACATGCAGCTCATCAGCATCTTACTGCAGCTCCTTGCTTTGGCGTGACTCCAGGACCCCAAGGGTGAATGGCACTGCTATTTTCCAACCCCTGCTTGCTTGTCATCAAATTCAGAGAGCTGATTTAAACATGGGCAGGACAGCCCCCATAGATCTGCCGTTGTACACTATGGTACTGCAGCAGTTGGAGTTCAAAGTCCTCAGTTTTAAAGCCCTGGCTTAAACAGGAAGTTGCTGTCACCAGAGCGTTCTCAGGTACGGGAAAATTCTGGTCTGCACAGGAAACTGCAATGAATGAATGAATGTACAGTGTACTAACTATGCAGTGATAACTCCAGGGTGAAGTTTTTTGTGTAAGGTAGCTTATTCCACTTTGAAAATGGAATAAAATCTTGCACTAAGAATGTCCACATGAAGAGTTCATGTGGAGTATCTTGCATCCTAGCTTACTGAACACTGACTTTCTACATAAGCAAACCCTTAGACCCCTAACATTTGTTGACCATTGGAACATGCTGAAAAACATATCTGTTCCTATTTCCACATGCAAATACTTGATCTGTCACATGAAATTGGATATCTGTTTCAGGAACACAGTTATATCCCTGGCTCTTTTGTATCTCAGGGTCGAATATTCAAATACTGATGCAATTAGAAAAAAATACTTGCACGTCTTTTGCCCCTCACCTGAAAGAATTATAAGGGAAGAAGCACATTTCTTATGTTAAACAAACTAAAATCTAGCTTAAAATACATTTGAAAGTAATTTGAATCTAGTGCTGGTACAGTATTGGACATCTTGATGAAAAAATGAAAAGGAAAATTGTAATTATTTTTAAAGCAGGTTGGTAGAAAGTCTCTAATCTTAAAACTGAATATCAGACTATAACATTCAAACAGATCACACTCAAGTTTAAAATATTAATTCAGAATAAATATGGGCCTGGTCTCTCTAGACCAGCAGTCAGGAACCTTGCCCAGAATGGCCCAGCTCATGTCTGAGACAGGCTGGTGCTTAGACCTAGCCACCTCCACTGCTTCTCCCCACTTGCTGGCTTCCCAACTATGTGCAGCTCAAGCTAGGCTCCCTCCCCATGCCAAACACCAAAGCCTCATCTCTGCAGACTGTAAATTGCTGACCCCTGTTCCAAACAATATCACTTGCTAGCAGATTTGGATTATCCCAGACCTTGTTGCAGGCTGGCACGTACACAACAGGCACAAAACCAGCTCAGCCTAGAGGGCACCATAAATTGGGGGGAAAAGATGAATGTGCATACCTGGCAGAAATAGCATTGTTGTCATAGGTAGAAGATCCATCATTTAGTGAAAGGATGAAAAGGAAAGATAAACTAGAAAATCAGAATTAGAGGTTATCCACATGCACTTTTACTCTTGACAGATAAAATACACCTGGGAGAAATTACTTAAGCTGTAAAGGTTTTTAGTGTAAAACATTTGGCCACTCATTAAAGTTTTATTTGAACCATAAAATGATCTTGGTCAGTTTGCTGGCAATATCCTACCTGAGGCATACAGTCTTCCTGGTAATCATACAGTTCCATTTTAGATTCTTTTTCTAATGCTGTTTTTTCCCCTTTTTTTGGAGCATGCCTAGCATTATGCTTCCCAAAAGCATATAGTATTTGCTATATGCTTCCCAAAAGATTGAGTAGCTAGCCAGCTCCAGCCTTGCTTCAGAAAACAGATAGACTTTAGGCAGCAGTTTTCTTAAATTAAAATCTCTTTCTTGACTATAACTTTTGTTTATAAACAGGATACTAAAGTATAAAATTCTGATCATTTTAGGATGGTATGCATTGGCATGCTTTTGGAGAATTCATAAACATACCCCCTTCTTTTTTGTTTTCTTTAGTTCTGATTAAAGGAAATGTGCTTAAATTAAACTCTGTTCACAACATGCTTCTGTATGTGCTTAAGCCCCTTGACTTGGAAGTGCTCAATTTCCATGAACTTGACTGCTTTCCTGAATATCGGTGCTGCACTGAAGTGGGACTGATTTTTGGACTTGAACTACTTGTGCCATCATGCCCGCAGTACTCAGAAGTCTACACAAAATTGTTTGTTGTGGCCAGAAACATTTGGAGGGTTTTCTTATGCTTTTACGCTAAAATCTCTTTAAAAATACCTTTGCGGAAGACATTGTAACTTCTTTGGTAGCTTTATCTTGAGGTTTTGGGACTGTACAATAATATTTAGAAATGGCTTCAACTCTCTCTCTCTCTCTCTCTCTTTCAGTGTTCCTAACAGAGGACAAAGCTAACTCTGTTTTAAAAAGATACCCAAGAGCCAATGTATTTTTAGAAGAGATAAGGCAAGGGAACATAGAACGTGAATGCAAAGAAGAAGCCTGTAGCTATGAGGAAGCAAGAGAAGCTTTTGAAAATGATGAAAAGACAGTAAGTTATTTGTTTTTACCATTATATTGTTTGATAGAAGCTGGTAAGCAAGATTAATGACTTTTTGCTTCTTGTTACTGTACTAGATTTCGTAACTTATTCTTTTTTACAAAATGTATTCTGCTAAAACTAGTGAGCACTTTCCTGAAGCTGGCAGCCATTCGCCAACAGTGCAGCTGCTTAAGCAACGCCTATCTAGAACCTTGCTTGGGTAGAGTGGCAGAACAGTTGGGGCATCTTCCTCTGTCACCAGGGGTATGAGTTTGAGTCCCGCTCTGGACTGGTGCTGAAGGGTGCCCACAGTTTACCTGACTGTAAATGGTACCTGGTCATTTTGGCTGGGGACTCAAAGGTGGCTGAATGTAATGCCAGTCACATCACCCTTGTACACAATTAACTACAGAAACTGATGTGCCTTATCCACGCTAACCTGATGGGACATTAGTCTCGGGCAGACCTTTGACTTTCTGAGAGAATAAGAATCGAGTGTGACAGTGTGTTGTGCACAAGTATCTATTAACTTCTGTGGGCTTGTGTACTGGAGCCAGCACAAAACTCAGCACAGGATTGAGGCCCAAATCTGTACAGGTTTCCCTCGCTTTATGCTATACATGTGTTCCTGGAAAACAGTGCATAACTTGAATTTGCATAAAAGGGAACCCACTTTACAATGCAACAAATAGGGATATGTTCCAAGGCCTCGATTGTACTGACCCCCAGCCCCATTTCTACCACTTTTACAAGCCAATTTTCGTACTCGCCAACAGCACCAGGTGGTGGTGAATGTTGCTATAATGGGGATGGCAACTACAGAAACGTGTGTCGCAGACAACAAGTGAGGAGCATAGATCCACACAGGAGACTATATTTTGGTGTGCATCACTCCCACAATGCACCGAACAGAGAAGCTGACTGCAGGCTTTGTCCAATTTGAGTGAGAGTTTTAACTCATTGTCTAGCTTTGTCCTCCCAGGAGGTATGACCTGGATATATAAAACAGCCAGCCCTACAGTGGACAAATGAAGGCAGTAAGGCTGCCCCAGACTGTCAAACCTGTTGAGTATCTTGCATGTCTTCAATACTTACTATGATTAAAGGAAATAAAAAAATAAATAAATACTCTTCTTCTAAATGAATTAACAGCCTGTCCTCATGGCACATGCCCCCTCCACCTGGCTCCCCTGCTGCCTTGCTACATTAGCTGCGCCACTGACCCTCTGGCCCTGGCCCAGCCTGGGGAACACAGCCAGGCTACAGCAGCTGCCCTTGCCCTCCTACCTCTACCCCTGTATCTGCCCCCCCAACTACCTCTTCCCCAACCCCCTCTTGCTAGTATCTCTGTGTTCTGCCCCACATTCTCTCACCACTGCTTACCTTCCAGCCCAGAAGCCAAAGTAATTATGTGCTCTGTGCCCTGGACTGGAGCAGGGCTAGAATCAGAGGGTAAGTGGCAGGAGGGGGCAGGCAGATGTTGCAGCTCTGCCCCTGGGTTAGGGCCACAGCAGCTGCCACTGCTGCCCCCCTTCCCCTGGCTCATACTTGAATCCAAGATGGGGGAAATAACCTCATCTTGGATTCAAGTAAATACAGTAATAGAACCACATGTGTGGTTTAAAGACTAATCATTTTAAATTTTACTGTGTGGGGGAAGTGACCACTTTGCCCTTTCTCTAAAAAATCCATTAGAATCTTGTAAGGAGCCTTCCTCAAGAATTATGCAACCAGTCCCCAAAGTAGTAGTCAACAAAAAGAGAATTCGGTAGAATAATGAGTTATGAGAGAAATGTGTTACTTGATTCAAAGACACTTTCTTGGGCAACTTATCTCATTCTCAAAGTACAAGAATCCTAAGAAGCAAATAATGCAAAGCGGTTGTTCAACAGTTGGAAAATGCCTTCATAAAAGGCCTGACGAAGGGTTTTTGAACCCGAAAGCTTGCTTAATAACTATTCTCCAACTATTTGGGTTGATCTAATAAAAGATATCAAATTTACCCAAGGAACCTTGTCTTCATAAAAGGTAGCATTTTTGTTGGGAATAGGCAGTGCTGGTGGCACAAACCATGGTTTGATGAGGACTGCTCTAAAGCTAATGATGATTTAATAGAAGTCTTGAAAAAATACAAGTCTAAAGATGATTGTGCTAACTTTCGGTAAAGCAAGAGTATCAAAATAGACTATAAAAATTAAGTTAATTTATCTCATCTCTGAATCTCAAATAAGATCATACACAACTTACTGAGAAATGGAATGGCCCCCAGAAATCTTCAGGGAATTAATTCGTTGATGATGGTGTCTAGTTTTGACCATACTTTTTTAATACTGATATAATTATTTTATAGTCTACATATAGATGGGCAGAAGAGGGGCTCTTGCAGCTCTAAAGTATAAATCTAAGGTAGAGTCTGTTTCATTGTATGGAACAGAGATTTGAGGTGTTGACTCTGAACTGGGGTCCACTCGGATAGAAAAGATCTCCAATTACTTTTTCAGTTGGTTTTTTCTCTCTACCTTAATCTACACTGCGGGGATGTTGTGCTCTGAAACTGGACTGATAAATGTGAGCACCTTACCTAAATTGTTGCATATGAATTACATCTTTTACACCTACCAGGTACCCTAAGAACTGCATTCTGGCAGCCTCTCCTTTTCCAAACAAATAAACCTTGGTTTGAATGGTTAAATAGCATCTATATTCTCCCAATGAATGGCTTGGGGAATGTACTGAGAGTCACCAACTCAGTATTTTTCCTATCTTTTAAACAAGACATAAATTTAAGAATTACAGGCCCCTCTAGATATTCAAGTAAAGGTGTGATAGAATCTGATGTGCAATCCACATTATTATGCCTCCTGCCGTGCTACACATGCATGGGAGGAGGTGTGATTGTGAGATCCAGCATCAAATCCTATCGCACCTTATTGCTGGTAAAGGGGAGACCCGGGATCATGATCCCAGGCTACCCTGCACCAACTTACAAGTAGAAATCCATCGTGGCTGGGGGCCCCATCAGCTGACAAGACTGCCATCCATGACAGTGCCCCTCTAGCTTCTTGTTCCAAGCTGTTGGCAACCCAGTAGCCACCTGATAAGTTTAAATTACAGACAAATTTCCCTGGTCTGAGAGGGATATGTGAGAGGTTTTTGTCTTCTGGTGTGGAAGTACATTGACAGAAACATTCAAAATACACCAATTTTCATAGTGACAATTGCATGATAATTCATAATATCAGTTAGAATTAATGAGTCTTAGATAGATTCCCCAAGTTACCATGATTTGTTTTTATAAAGTTTGACTGAAAGCTCTTTGTAGTTGCTGTGGCTTCATCTTCTTGGTTATGTCTCATCCTACATTTGTCCATACTGTCCTTTCGGCTTAGAAGCATTAGACGGTACCAGAGCTAATATTTAAGAACAAATTTTGAAGCTTCATTGCGGTATTATGAAACAGAACATGGCACAGACTTAATTTTTCATTTGAAGTCAATAGAATACATAGCCAAAAGCAATATTGTCTTATTTGAATATGCAGGTTATAGTGTTGGCTGGAGTACTGGTCTTTCTGTTAAAGTCTGTTTAAAGTACAGTTTTTTACAATGCACGCTCTTTGGTGCTTCATTTTACTACTGATACACTTAAAAGGTAAGTATGTGCTATCTTATAATTTTATTTTAAAAGTTGATATAGCCTGGGAGTTACTGATACATCCTTAAGGGTCTGTCCTTTTTATGCAGTGATTCTGTTCAGCCTTTCCATCTAGTATAAATGGACAAAAGGGAGTGTTTATAACCCAATATTTTGTAAATGTTTCCTAGTAATTAGGAGCAAAGAATATCAGCAAAACCCAAAGTGAATTAACCCTAATCAGACTTTTTTTCATTTTGCTATAAATTTTACAAAGCTGTAGAAATATCAGAGCTGTGCTAGGCTTGACTAAATCGTCAAGCACAAGAACGTTTTGGATAAACTGATAGGATAACATGAAAAATATTTTTATGTGCTTTCAGTGCTGCTGTTCATCTTAGTTCTGTCAACTTCAAGTGTTTTACCTTACTTTTTATGAGGATTTTTAAAAATAATGGAAGTAATTATTTTTGGTAAATATGGAACATTTACAGTTGTTTTAAAGAATGGTAAACACAGATCAGCAAACAGAAAAAGAAATCATGAGCATGACTTGGATTTATAGAATGAGAGAGTCATAAACACTCAGCCCAAAATGGTATTCAGTATCAGATGTGACTTTTTAACATCAGCTTTGAATCAAACTATTATACGAAATATCCAACAGATGAAAGATATGAAGGGATCATACAGGGTGTTGAATTTCTATATTAATCTGAAATTGAGGCAAACAGTAAAAATGTGAGCAGTCTCATGCATCTCATTCACTTCCCACTCATTTTGTTCATGTTTCACTGGTTGAATACAAACAATTTTCTGACTGGCAACTTGTATTGCCTCTTAAAAAGAAAATAAAATGGTATTGACCAGGAATGTTTTGAGACTAGTATGCTGCCAAAATATGATAGGTCCCACAGTTGGACCTTCTCAGCACTGCAAAATTACTGCGTTTAACACTGATATGGAAAGAAGACGATTGATTTATTGTCGTTATCAATTCAATGTATACCAGTGCTACTCTGAATTAAGTTGTATTGATACTGAAACACTGCATTCTCATACCATTAGATACTTTTTAAATTAAACCTATCAGCTGTTTATGACAGTTTAAGTGGATGTGGTATCTATCCCTCGAGACATTTAAAATAAAACTTGCTAAAGCAGTGGGAAATACACAAAATAAGCCTGTGTATAGACTAGATGGTCTGAATAGGTCCTTTTTCATTGCAGTTAACTGATCCTATAACCTATCTAGCTTAATTTTTTCTGCCTTTTTAGGAGTATTAAAGTAATTCTGCTATTTCATAGCCATAAATTCTACAGTGCTTTAGGACATACCGTTATTACAGTTAGTTTTCCTAAACCATGCCAATTAC